AAGTTTTTGGCCAGTCCCCCCCCCCCCCCCCACTATCAATAGAAATGTGTAGTTTGTTTACACATTGTCGCAATATTCTAATCCATGTTAGGGCCAGTAAAACACTGTGCTGTATTAAAGAGGTGATCCTAGCAGCGGGTATTGCTTAGGGTGCCAAAGGTCATGTGCCTACAGACTACAGAAGTAAAAATCCAGCCCTCCTTGTACATCAAAGCATCATAGAATGGCAATTTTCAATGTTACTCCTTCTACCAGATGAAAAATTCCAAGGGTGTCCCTAGATTGCCATTCTATTAGTACTTTATTTACAAGCAAGATTTATATAAAACTGTTTTTTTATTTTGCAGAGGGGACATGATTTTTATGAAGGTGTAAGAGCAGGTAAGGCAGTTTTGTAATAACGTACACAGCTTTTATATAGTTGTTACATAATTGTTACATAGTTGTTGTTAAGGTTGAATAAAGACACAGGTCCATTGAGTTCAATCATTGGGTTGTGTGTGTGTTGCTAAGATTACCTGTACCCCTGTATAGCTTGTTCTCTGATTCCATACTCTCAGTTGATACCACTGTCTGTGGAAGGGAGCTCCACAATTTTACATCTTTCACAGTAAAGAATCCCCTTCACTGTTTAAGATAAGTTAAGATATATGTTATATCACCATTTCCAGCTGTCTGTGTAATAACATTCACATTATGCAATATAAATATTGTTATTACAGTGTACAGTGACTTTATTCTCTGTTGCTTAAATAAATGTAAATTAAATAAAGTTCTTGTACAGAAACCAGTAAATACTTCCTGTCCTGCTGCCTGTGCAACCAAACACTGCATTGTAGCAGAGAAATCACTTCCTGAAATCTCTTCAACATGTACATCTGCTGACAAGGAACAGCATCCAATCACAGGGCATGGAGGTGACCTTGCTCTGATGCTTACCTGCTGAAGGAAAAATTCAGATCACCAGCTAGCTTTGCAGTGGGTAAATCTCAGGACTGAATACGCAGCAATAGACCAATTTGGTGGTACCTTTTTAGAAAAAAAGAAGAACCCACAATTTTCTCTGAAATAACCTGAAACTGGCAAAATAATTGGCAACCATCATTGTTTATTCCATATGTAATAGAAATCAGACTTTGCTTTTCATTTTTGATTTAACAGGAATCAAACGAAAATGCCATGAACAAAAATTATGAGGTCCTCAACCTAATATTTTGCTACACTGCCACCAAGCAATTTCTGTAACTTTCAATGAGATTTCTGCACCTGCCAACATGTAGATTGGTCCATTCTTCTTGAGCAAACTGCTCCAGCAATCTCAGGTTTGAAGGGTGCCTTCTCCAGACTGCATGTTTTAGCTGTTCCCAAAGATGTTCAATAGGATTCAGATTAGAGATCATAAAAGGCCACTTTAGCATTGTCCACTGTTTTCTAATTAGCCATTCTTGGGCCTTTTTAGCTGTGTGTTTTAAAACATTATCCCGTTGCAGGACCCATGACCTGCGATTAAGACAGAGCTTCCTGGCACTGGGCAGTATATTTAACTCCAGAATGTTTTGATACTCTTGATTATTGCATTGTGTCCTGCATAGATTGAAGGAACCCGGTACCAGATGCAGTAAAGCATCCCCAAAATGTAACTTAGCTTCCCTCACAGTGGGTGTAATGTTAATTTCTTTTGAAAGCTTCCATTTTTCTTCTGTGAATATAAAAGTTGATGGGACCTTCCAAAAAGCTCCAGTTTTGTCTCATCTGTCCAAAGAACATTTTCCCAGAAGCATTGTGGCTTGTCAATATTCTTTCAGCAAATCCCATGTTTTTCCTTCCAACAGTTGCTGAAAAAGTGACACATGGTGTAATCAAACACGGACATACCTTGACTTTGGAGTTCAGCTTGTATCTTTGGAAAAGTTATTTGGCTCTTTGTCTAGTTTTTTGTTCTGGTCCATATTCAGTGTGGTGCACACAATGATACCAAATGGCAGAGTGACTACTTTTCACTATTTGAATAGGCCAGTGGTGGCGAACCTTGGCACTCCAGCTGTTCCAAAACTACAAATCCCAACATGCATCTGCCTCTGGGAGTTATATCTGTGGCTGTCAGAGCCTTGCAATGCCTCATGGGACTTGTAGTTCCAAAACAGCTGGAGTGCCAAGGTTCGCCACCACTGGAATTGGCTGACTGACTGATTACAAGATTGAAGATGTGTGATAGTAATCACAGAAAACACTTAGTTTGAAATATCATTATGATCCAATTATTTATAATCTTTTCTGGTGGTACCAATAAATGTGTCCAGACCATTTTACAATATCTTTGTATAATAAGCAATCATTTATCTCTTTTCACCCTTTCTTTGCTTCACTATATTACATATTGATGCCATGCAGGTATACATGAGGCAATTGCTTTCAATTTCATCACTTTTCAGGAAGAATATAGCATTGTTTCAATGAGCTATAAGGGTACCAACACAATTGTCCATATGTATATGCATTTTAACCATGCATTTAGCTGTTTTCCATGGAGTTTAGTTTTACAGCTTAATGTGTTCGAATGTGTATCCGTGCCACCTAATCTCAGAAAATATATTGATCCACGTGAGACAATACACAAAAATGTAGCATTCACATACTTCATTTTATGCTGTGGCACTTTAAATTAATCATGGACTGCAGTGTTTGTGGGTGCTGACTTTTTAGTTGCTGTAGTTTTCTATTGAACACCCCGGGGGTGCCCCACTGTTCTGGTTTGGTAAGTATCATAGTCCCTGGTGAGCTCAGCACAAGCACTACACTGTATTATATCCAGCACCTTATTGTACATCCTCTTATTTATAAGGAGGAGCTCTAGTTTATGAGGAGTACTTTAGGCAGGAGATAAGCAGATTAAACATTAAATATAACAAATGTATTAGTGTAAATATTACTGTTCAAACCTGGCTTGAAATGACATCTTGACACTGGTTTTATAACCTCACGTAAAATGAACAGGAAGCCTGATAAAACTAACAGCTGGCAATCAATACGAGAATGTAGTCGTTTTCCTCTGCCCATCGAAAGCAAGTTCCTACCCAGCATAACTAGGGTTACCTGGCAGCACCAGGATGAGGTGGGCTGCTGTCTAATTAACAGCAAACTATTAATATGTGTTAAATGTATGTGTATAACATATGTATGTGTCACAGTGTGCCCAAGAGAAATTAAAGCTGGTCATCCGCTGGCTGTATTCAAATGACAAGTTCAATTTTCTTTCTGAATCATGACATTTATAAGACATATTTTTACATATAAATCATGCTGCCACAAGTTTAATTGTAAATGTGCAATAATAAGAAAAAAATTGCTTGTGTCAGATTTTATATGCTAGCTATTAATGTGGAGTTAGTATTGTCACACCCAATAAGCAACATGCTGAAAGTATTTAGTTGCTTCTTATTGCTTTTGGGCTTACCTAGAGGACGTTCTTTTGTGACAACATGGCTCACCTAGGGCACTGAGGTCCACACAGTATTCCTTGCATTAGACTGTCCACAAGTGTGTAAAACTATATATACCATTCCTGCCATTATGATTGTCCAAAGCTGCCTATTCTAGATTGGTAAGGGACAGACTCTTCTATCCTACAGGAAACCTCTACAATATGTAACAAAGAGAAGAGGTTGCCAGATGACTTTAACAGTGTTTGATATTCACATTCTCAAGAAGTAAAATGCTATAGAGAGATTGACTGCAAATTCTTTTCTTTGCACCCAATACAATTTCAGCTCCCTAAAGGATCATAGCATATACGTTTCTACCAAGAACACAGTAGAGCAGAAACTGCTACCTAATGGAAACCTACACTGAAGACGTAATGAGGCCGCCTGCCTGCCAGGCTGTACCAATGAATTTTGTACTTTCTGATCCAGAACAAGTATGCAGATTTAGAGTTCTGACTTTTCTAATCTGTATGCTTGCTCCAGTTTAGCATCTCAAAGTAGTAACGTCATTGGGTTGGCAGCATGACAGCCAGACAGGTAGCATTTTAGGAAGAGGTCAGCACTGACAGCCCCTGTATTCTTCTTAGTACAACTTTCATTTAATGATGGCAATAGAACTGGTAAATTATAACAAGTAAAAGATCTGATAGTACTCTGAATACTGTATAGGCCTGAAAGTGTATCTAAATCTAAAAACCAAAATGTAATATATTGCAGCTTACCAATCCTTAAATGTGGTAGCTGCATTCATTTTCTTTTTTAGGCTAAGAACATGCAAGTAAAGAAATTAAATGTTGATGTGTCCTTGTCACTTTTTGTGATCTGAAAGGACAGCAGAAACAATTTTATCTTTCATATGTAAACCGCTAGTCCAATCAATCCACCATGTAATGGAGATGAACAAAAGGCGGACATGTTTGAAGTCCAGCCTGTGTGACAACCATGGCTGTCCCCATACAGATACAGTGGAGAAGTGAGTGTAGGCACGAAGGTGCAGGAAGTGTATTATTTGCAATATCACCAAGTGAAAATAAACGCAGAAATGCCTGAAAAAATCAAACTGATTATGTCATCACATCTACGGACTAGTAAGCTGCAATATATTACAGACTTGTCGGTCACATTTGCCAAACAGTATTGTGGCAAAGTATGCCAGAGCTAGAGAACAGGGAAACTAAACTTGGAAGTGTTGGGGAGGTGCTCCTTCCAGGTTCGGAGAGGCTCAGGTTTGAACTGGTTTCGGACTGACCCTGAGCTCATCCCTAATTACAAACTCTTTGGCAATTAAATCTTACATTTAGAAATAACGAAGGGCAATGGCAGAAAAAGAGCAAGTGGTCCATCCAGTCTGCGCCTTTTTTTAAATGTTTTTTTGTTTATTTCTTTTAACCTTTTTGTATGAGTATAGATCTGTGTTTGTCCCAAACATGTTTAATTTTACTTAGTGCTGACTGACATATGGTGAAATGGCTGCTGAGCTGCATAGGGTACCTTCAAGTGCCTGCACACATTTTTAGAGGTGTTCTGTTTGACAGATTGTGATCAGAGATTGTGTAGTTCTAGCCTGACTGACCTTGTCTCTATTAGTTATTAAATGTGGCAGGTGATTTATTAGACAATAGGGGGTGGCCCATCATGAAACAACACATGTTGTGGTTGGACTTTGCTTAATGCAATGGAGGTGACTGCTCTTTCGCCAGGAAGCCAGTTTACCATATTGGAATGAGCCACAGGTTTGATTTAAACTGACAGTATTATAACCAGCTGTAATCTAATATATTAATCATTTAATAGACTATTATTTTATTCATGTAATGTAATATTAAATATACCTAGAATTGTTATACAAGAGTCATTTTGATATTACATAGTAAAGCAATTATTTGGTTAAATAATGTTGTTATGTTTTTACTCTGACAGTTCTTATTGATAAAGACCAGAATCCAAAGTGGAAGCCAGAGCGGCTGGAAGATGTGACAAATGAATATCTGGGCAGCTGTTTTGCATCTCTTGGAAGCGATGACCTAAAGCTGTAATTGAATCAGACAATACGATTCCACTGTTTTAATAAAACATTTCAATAGTAGCCTTCTGTCCTTGATTTGCTGAACTCATATCAGTGTGACAGAATTCTTCCTAAAACCATGATTACTGGAAAAATACAACAAATAGCTATTGATGAAGAATACTGCCATGGCCAGAAATACAATAAAATTAACACTTTCCTCCTTCCATTCATATTCGTTTTCCATAATGCTGGTCAACTTAGGCTGAAAGATAGTTTTAGAAGGGGCACAATAAGGAGACTCTGTCATGAGCGAAACAAAAACTACTGCAGGTATAGAGTGCGAGTACCAAGAGGAGCCTGAACATACCTGCAGTGGCCCCGCAAATCCTGCCACTACTGCTGAATCCTGGCTGGTTCTGATGCTTCTGCTATTGTAAAAT